TAAACAAATTGCCTTAAAAAGCAACGTGCTCTAACAAACAGGCTTCCGTTTGAGTATATCCCAGTAAACATTTTCATTCATTTATTTATTTTATTTCAACGAAGTTTAATTAGATTTTTTGTACTAAATTCACTTTTGTTTCAATTCTTTTAGTTTGATTTTTTCTTTAATTTAATTAAATTTTTTTCATTTAACTTTATTCTATTTAATTTATTTATTAATTTATTTTATTTTATTTTATTTTTTTTTATTTGATTTTATTTTATTTTATTTTATTTTATTTTATTTTATGAGATCTGGGTGTGGGCTATAATAACGAGGCTACTCAGTGAGCTAACATTCCACATACAGCTGGTCATGGAACAAGCAGATTCTCTCCAGTCTGTGCCCTACCTACTACCTTAAGAGTGTGCTTTTCAGCTTCGTTTATGGTTATACACACCTTTGAATGGTTAAAATTATGCCATTTATGCCTGAGGCTTGCTGATTTTTTGGTGTTAAGATGGCAAGCTCACATAAACATTGCACGTACATGTCGTGAATATTGTTAATGCTTGAGTAAATGTTAGATATAAGCTCTTCTACAGCCAAAACAATTGCTCCTAATGCTGTAGGAACAATTATATTGTTATTTAGTATCGGGAAATCACTATATGTTACTGAGGATTATTCTCGATTTTTTAAGCGAAGAGTTTGATTATTAAAAAATCTTTGCACAGGCTTCTAATCACCGCTAGGCTATCTTTGCGCGCAACACACTCGGCCGTATGGATGGTCCTGGCAAGGATATGTTCGACCACATGAATACAGTCGGTAATAAAAGTAAGTAAAGTAGGTAGAGGAGCTTCCCTTTTCACGTCCCTTTGATCGCTGGAATGATTTTTAATACAATATATCTATATTGATTTCGGTATAAAACTGTAGTTAAATTCATTTGTTGTTTTAAGCAATAGATCTGAGAACTGTCTGGTAGTTTTGCCTGTGTATGATTAATCCGAAAATCATTCAGGATAAAGCCTCTTATATATATGGCTATGGGAGCTGTGTGAGAGGTCCGGGGCATGCCGGAGACTCAAAGTGGTTTTCATATCGATGGTCTGAGTGAAGGGTGCATGTGTCTCCTAAAGACTTTAGACCAATTAGTCTATCCTCCATTCCGTTGAAAATTCCAAAAAGCTGGCTGACTTAAATATATGTATATCAGAAATATAATGTTTTAGAACTCTACAATAAAAGGATTTTACTTTAAGAGCCTTTTTAGACATTAAAATGCATTTAATAAAGCTCTCTGGGTGCAATCATAGCTTCTTGGAACGGCATTGAAGTTAAATCCAACCGTACGTGACAGAACTGTGGAGCCTTGAGCGTTATTAACCTGTTTCCTGCTAAGAATTTTGTGTGTCAGCGACTTGGTTAAGACCACTAGTCCACCCTATCTTATTTTTCGGAGTTTTCATATTTGGAACTCACTAAAAAGAGTTACTTTACCTAAACAACTGGAATACATTCATCGAGCGGTTCCACACAGCATTAGTGGCGCTTTTTGAACTACTCCAACCTTAGCGTTTAACGAGATGTATTTTATTTTGCTGTTACTGCAGGTCGTCTACCGCTGCAAAAGTCGCTGTAAGATGCAGCGTGTCAGCGTGACTGAGGCATTCCGCTGTTCTTGAGGACCTCGAATTCATCACCAGTCGCTTCAATTACTCTATCTTCGAACTGATGTTAAGTGGTTTCCTCGCCATGATAATCCCTTCACGCGAGCGCTTAGCTTCTTCAATGATGTGTCGAGGCTTGACGGAAAGGTCAGTGCTGAAGTCTTCAGTCGAGAATCATATTCATCGGTGAAAAGTTTGGCTTCGACACCATGATAACGATTTCCAAGTGGAAGTAGTGTGGTTTTTGCAGCCTGCTTCTGAAGAGATGGACAAAGAACCAACTCAGCAAGTGCTGGACTAACATCTTATACTTGATGAAATTGAGTACTGGGTATTATCAAGCGGATCAACTTGTGCGAATATGGAATTCTGACACTACGATTGACAAATAGTGGGTTGATAGGTGTGCTGTGGCCGAAGGAAACGCCAGACGAAGCGGCTTAAGTGTGCATAGATACATACAAATGTGCATATGTCCTCAGCGTATTACAACTGCTTGAACATTATCGACCAAACTAACGAGTCAATACAGCGGCTGTGTGCTCCCACCTACTAGCTACCTTTGTGGCTGCATAAGCAATACTCAATGTGTGTGTGTGTGTGTGTGTGTGTATGAGTGTTTGCAACAACTTCCTCCATAATTAGTCATATTTGTTAAGCAGAGATTTGCGTTGGCTGCGTATTTAGCGACTGCAACTCGCCGGCAGCATAGTATTTATGGCTTTAAGCCTGGCAGCCGGTTGGTCCATCAGCTGTAGCATGCATACGCACAGTTGGATATAAAAAAAAAATGCAACTCTTCTTCTCCTCTATAAATTGCGATTTTGCATTGGTCAATGCCAAAGCGAAAGACACCACGCAACGTCGAGTTCGCTGCTGTCGCACTAAGTATATAGTTAATATAGCCGATAATGAAGCGCACGGACAGCGCACAAAGCCTGGCTAATGCCGCGGCAGCAGCGCCTTCCTTCGCTTATAAATCTAACTTTCACTTTCAATTAGCAAATTTGTCATAAGTTGCCAGTGAAATGTTTGTCGGAAAGTGGTAGTGAAGGTGTTCTTTTGGACCGAAGCTCATTTGCATAGTACGTGCAGACTTTCGTAATTCATTCCTCGACGGCTGGCGGAAGCAACGGTCGGTGAGAGATTTTCTTTGCTACTTTTTCACTTATTAAAAATTTTCTAAAAATTTCAAAATTTAATTATTTTTGCCGCAGTAAGCACCTCGACGCCAATTTAGGAACCTTTTTTGTTTTGCATTTTGTTTTCTTTGCTTGTTTGGTCGGTCACTTTCGTTGTTCGCTGCCAAAAATCATAAGAAATTGTTTTGTTAATTTGTACGTGTTTTTCGCTTTCTTATTAATTTCCTCGCTTTGAAATATTTATTTCATTTGACGAAAGGGGCAAGAAGTAAAATTATAAATTCTTGTCAGCTAAATTGTGGCGCGTATTTTCACTTGTCGCCGTCGCCATCGCCATCGCCGTTGTCGGTCGAACTTTAGGTACTTGACTTCGCTGCGCCGCTGACAGTTTCGCTCATTTTGTATGCGCTTTACGCTTTACGCTTTGGATTAATGAGACAAAACGCGAGTTGCTGGCGACTGCAATTGCGTGCAGCGTCGAGGGGGAGTTTACAGGCTGGCAAATGGTCAGCAATTTGCGTATGCACGGTACGTATGAATGCGTGAATGGGTGCTGACTTTGTTGTTGTTGTTGTTAGCTTGTAAAAATTCAATGGCAATAAAATTAATTTCTAATTCTGTAGAAATTGCGTGAGTGCAAAATACGGGATGGAATGTTGACTGAGTGTATGGAAATTCTATTCGATAAGGTTTGAGTCTTACAGCGAGCCGAGAAGAAGCTTGGGGTTTGTTGTTTTCATACCTTTAATGTACACGAAATATGCCAAAAAGAGATAGAGAATTTAAGCCAATCAAGTCAGAAAGACGATTTGATTTGATCCGTCTGCTGTACGCTCATTAGCCTCACAGTTCTCGAGATATCTATGTATTTCAACAAACTAAATACAAAAATGCACCGGTACATTTATACGATAATTTGTCGGAACCAGCCAGATTAGACCCTCTGCTTCTTTACTGGCATAGACACCAAAGTACAGCCAAGTCTCTCCAATGGAGTGGTAGTCTTCTTTTTCACCCGCTTTCACCGTTGAGCACTGCATTGAACACTTTCAAAGCTGGAATATTCTTATTTATACGGCTACACAAAACCTAGTCTTGATTCTCTGAACTATGTCTAGTACAACTCAGCGTTCTACCGACTGTGGAATTTACCGTTGCCAATATAGAGAGGACCCTAAATCGTTTTGTCTGGAAAACTCCAGCATCGACTCATCAGATGATATCTTCGACCATGCCTCCACACCATATAGTAGACGGGGCTTAATGAGCGACTTGTAGAATTTGTTCTTTGTTCTACAAGTCGTCTCATTTTCTCAAGTAACATATTTAAAAAGTCTGGATCACGAGTCACCTTATTTTAAATGGCACGGCTTGGAGAGGCCAGACTTATCGCATGGCAAATATCTGATCAATTGTAGAAAGCTACACTAATAATTTGTTGACGATGGGCTTTAGGAGGCTAGTCGCACTGAAAAAGCATCGTCGGGCATGCTATTTCGACTATATTTTGCAAAAAAGCTGTTGCATCGGTATTGGTTGGGAATAGAGCTCGCCGTGTTGTTCCAATCCCACTTGAGGATAGGCTAGTTAGTCGACGCCACCGAAGGAGAAGTGGTGGTTGCTGTTGTTCCAATCCCATTTAAGGGTAGGCTAGTTAGTCGAAGTCACCGAAGACCTCTAACGGGGCAACAAGGAAAGAAGCTGTTTCGACTGGTTCGAACCAGACAGAGAGGGAGGTTAGATATGTTGGTTTTAGCGGTAAGGTAAGGAGGTGGTTAGTGTCGTGCAGGGACTTGTTACATGCTGGACATACGTTTGGTAGTACGGTAGGAGTTTAACCTACTACAATATACACTTAAGATGTGCCAGTATTACGCGGATCTCTCAAACAGCCCGAGCTCTTTATCTATTGTGGGTGGTGATTTGACTCCGGGGACGCATTAGTTCTCATTCCCTTAAATCGTGGGTGGACGATAAGCTTTCTACCACTGATTCCAACGCTTAATGTTTTTATGTTTTTGGAGATATATATGTTTGTTCAATAAACTTATAAGCTTAAACGACGTATGAGTCTATTAACCCAGCCAGTCTGTGACCGAAATCGTCTCAATCTGTAGACTCAACCCTGCCTCCCCTTTTGAGGTTACCATACTTTTTACCTTCAGATTCAGATGGTCCATCTTTTTCTCATTTCTTTCAGTATGTCCATGTTCTGGGACGAAATCCATCGACAATAAACCCACCGAATCTGAAAAACCACTACGTTGGGGTATGGCTCCGGTGAGTTTGATAGCCGATGATTTTGTTACCGCCCTGCAAGTACTATCGGACCGACATCATATGGTAACCGCTTGCACATCCTATTACCAGTCCGTTGCAAGGACATTTGCCAATAAACATAACATACCGCATGTGTACAGTAGTTTTGAGGACCTGGCACGTAGCAAAGATGTTGGTGAGTAAAAAATAAAAACAACTAATTATAAATGTACACAGTCTCCACTCATGTACGTACATCTATAGATGTGGTATTCATCTCATCTTTGAATCCATTTCATTTGGAAATCTCGCGTCTGATGTTGGATCATGGCAAACATGTACTGTGTGAGAAGCCACTTTGTATGAATGAAGATCAAGTCATACAGTTAATAGGTCATTCGCATAGTAAGGGTTGTTTTCTTATGGAGGGTATTTGGTCCCGTTGTGTGCCGGCCTATCAGTATATCCGCAAACAAATTGAGGCAGGCGCTTTGGGTGAGGTGGTTAAAGTAAATTGCACACTTGGATTACCGATGCAGAAAGTTGTACGTGTAATGTGAGTGATGGTAATGTAAGACGGTTGGGTTGTTGACAGATTCTTCTAGCTATTTATGCTTGGTATCGTGTTGGGTCTGATTTAGTCTTCTTTCTGACTACTTTACTTTTCTTTTGGCTCATAGGCGTCGCAGCCTTGGCGGCGGTGTCACACTCGAACTCGGCGTTTATGCACTGCAGTTCGCAATGTGGGCATTTGGTTATGCGCCACACAATGTAATCGCACATGGCAAATTAAATGAGGATGGTGTTGATGAAGAAGCGAATATCGTCATGAAATTTGGTCCAGAACGTGAAGCGGAAATAATGCTGAGTTGCACAAAGCGTTTTGACAACAAGGCTGTTATTAAGGGCACAAAAGGTAGTATAGTTGTAAGTTAGCCGTATCTACATATGTACATATATATGTTTAAAATAACACTTGTTTGTATTTCTAATAAGGTGCCTGATTATTGGTGTCCGGCAAGAGTAATCGATGTTGATGGTGAAGAAAAAGAATTTCCGCTACCTCATAGTGATCTGTCCACATACCTACCGAACCGTTTAGCTTTGAGTTTTGAAGCAGAAGAAGTACGACGTTGTATATCAGAGCATAAGGCGCAAAGCGATTTATTTACGCACAAGGAAAGTTTGGCATTGTCATATATTGAAGATCAAATCCGTCGACAATTAGGTGTTGTATACGCAGAGGACGAGACGGCGAATGTGTGTCGATAGTTGCTGATAATCGAACAATTACATATCCATACAAATTAATCAAAAGTCAATAAAATACTAACTTTTTTTTAACATAATCATGTATTTCACTTTTTATAACCACTTGATTTCTCTATATTCTCCTCATCCTCGTCATCATCAGCATCCTGTTGTCGTTGCCATTCGCGTTCATACAATTCTTTAAACGCTTCAAATTCTACCAAAGTGACGTGACAGACCTTCGTGGCAAATGTTTTATCCGATGTATTGGTAATTTGATACAAGCGCGGATTTTTCGATGGTTCATCCGGATCTACTTTTAAGGGACGCGGCTTAAACATGCCAAGCCTTTCGAGAAATACATGTCTACAGCGTATCTCTTCCAATGGTTTCGACAATGCTTCGGACTTAATAATTTCAGGCACTTCCACACGCATCACTTCCTTTAAATATTTTATCTTCTCTTCTAAACGCCGCTCTGACTGTTCCATTACATCTGGACAATTCATAAGTAGTTTCCAAACATTTTTATCTGTGCCAGCAAACGTTTTTAAATAACTAATATGTTTACGCAGCCGCAGTTCATCGGTAACATCCAGCAATTCTGGATATTTTGTTAACAATAAAAATAAGAATTTCTCGCCAAATTGACAACTACGCCAATGTTCTATTGCATCAATGATGCGCCGTGTGGGGCGTGCGAGCACACCTGGATTGGCGACGACAATTCGTAAGAAACTGCTAGTGTCTAAACCATGATTCATAAAGGTTTCATGTGCTCGTTGCCATTGCGTCGGATGTACTCTGGATAGTAGTGGATTTATGCGTATTGCTTCATCGATATGCGACTGTTCCAGTGGTGTTTCTTCTGCGTGCGCTGTAACAACGAAACGCGAAGGTGACAGCTGCTGGTGATTATACTAAAACACAAAAGATAGATAATAATATAATAAAAATAACAATTGCAATGATTTACCTGTTGTCTTCTGTGAAGAAATTGAACATTCTGTCTGAAGTTCGTTATAAATCTTCGGAGCATTGTGATAAATATAGATGAGTGGTCAAAGCGAAACCAATGCGATGTTACGGCGAATACAACAGCTGTTTTGCCCAACGACAATTTTAGCTAAACGTTCACAATCAGTGTAAATTCTGTTATACCAACCCTATTGTGAACGTTTTGGTTAAAAGAAGCATAAACAAAAATAAATTTTGCAGCATCCAATAGTAATTGTGTTCTTTTGTGCTAGCAATTGTAAGTATAACACTCTTTTACTGAATATATTTTTCAAAATGACAGAGCGTACATGTTTAATAAAAACTACGTGGGTGTTTGCTTTGCTCTTCGTTGACCTTGAGGTGGAGTTGTATGTTGTGACAATCTGTAACAGGTGTTCTCTATTTTCAACGATAATTATGAACATCCATTCTCACTTAATTTTTTTTATGGTATACATAATATTATCCATAGTTAATTTGCACTGAAACATTTTTTATTATCATTGTATAAGCGCGTGGGGAGCTCTTGTGAAATGATTTGAACGACTAAATTTCATTTATTTTATTAATGATAAGAAAAATATTTGATACTTATCAATTTCTGCAACATATGCTCTACCTTGATTATGTTGATCGGAAGAGGTCTCTCATGTATTCCTATCAGCAATTAGTACTTATAAATGTGCTACAATAAAAAATTTAGTTTAGAATAAAAATACTACTTACCTACTTACGCTATCTTACCAATTGGTTTACTATTTATTAAACGTATTACGCTAAATTTTATTCAGTTGTTATTCTCTTTTCGAGTAGCTAACATTTCGGTATTTGTGCTAAATAATAATTTAAATATGGCTTTACGTTGGGGTATCGCTTCTGCTGGTAAAATTAGCCACGATTTTGCTGTTGCTTTAAGCACTTTACCGGCGAGTGATCATAAATTGGTTGCTATCGCAGCACGTCAAAAGGATCGTGCAGAGGAATTTGCTAAGTTACATGAAATACCAAATGCATTTGGTAATTATAAGGAATTGGCGGAATTCACTGGCGTTGGTGAGTCTTATGGAATAACTTAATTCATGAAAAGCTTATTATAAAATATAATAAAATTAATAAAGTTAATAAAACATCGCAGATAGTATATGTGCAGTAGCTAATTATATAAATAAAAAAGTGTTTATTAATAAAAAAAAATTGGTGTTGTTTAGATATCCGGTTTATTTCTTTTTTAATTTCGAGTATATATCTTTGCTAGTTTGTGCGAGTTAAATTTTTAAAGCTAAATGAAATGAGTGATATTGAACAAAGAAAAAGTGCTTAAAATACATATGTATTTATGTATATATGTACAAATGTATGCATACAAATTTTTTGCCCAATCGCAATCAAGTCGGAGCAAATCTGATTTCAATAAACACTAGAAATTCAATTTGCCTTACACTTGTGTATAAATAATAATTGAATATAGCGCTAAAAACTGCTGGTAACTGAGGAAAGTAATTACTATCTCCTTTCGAATAATTGCAAATGAAAAAAGTTTTCGAAATGAAAACTTTCCTAACTAAAAAACTTTTTTACTTATCAGATGTACTCTGCAATTTAATAAAGCAAAAAAAAAAAAATTATATAATAACTCTTACCAAGATATTTGCTATCTCTAGTGCTGAATTTATTTATTTAGTGAATGTGAGCAAATATAAAGTTCTTTTCAATCATTGAGTTTTTCAAAAAACTAATCATAACACTGAAATTTGTTCTTAATTTCCAAGTTTCAATTACATTCATTAAAAATAACAATCTGAGTATTATTTTATTATTATTTATTATTTTAATACCAATATTATTACAGATGTTGTCTACGTTGGTGCCTTAAACCCTCAGCATTTGGAAATCGCCTCACTTTTCATCGAACATGGTAAACATGTTTTGTGCGAAAAGCCGTTATGTATGAATTACAAGCAATCCAAGCAGCTGATTGATCTTGCCAAAAGTAAAAAAGTTTTCCTTATGGAAGCTATCTGGTCACGTTTCTTCCCTGCCTATCAATATGTACGCCAACAAATCAAAAATGGTGCCTTGGGTGAAATTAAGGAGGTCGAAGTTGCATTCGGCTTTAATTTGGGCGGCGTAGATCGTTTAACGTGAGTATTTTGAAATGTGTGAGGGATAAGCTTTCAATATCATACTTCTATTTATGCACATACTTACATTTATAGCAAAAAAGATTTGGGCGGCGGTGTAGTGCTCGATTTGGGTGTCTATACCATACAAGCATCACAATGGGGCTTCCAAGAAGCGCCACAAAAAGTTATCGCCAAAGGCGAACTCAATGAAGAAGGCGTGGATCAACATATAGAAGCCGAATTACAATATTCAGGCGGACGCGTGGGCAAATTGATCTTTAGCGGCAAGCAGGAGTTGGCGAATAAAGCAATTTTCAAGGGTACTAAGGGTGAAATTACTGTAAGTTTTTGTAATTATAATATTTTTATGAAAATCAATAGTTTATTTAATTTTTAATTTTATACGTGCAGTTGGAAAACTTCTGGTGTCCTACAAAATTGATTGATGTCGATGGCAAGGAGAAGGAATGGCCATTGCCCAAAGCTAAGCTCACTACCAATTACCAAAGATCCGAAGGTTTGCGTTACGAAGCTGAGGCTACACGTCAATCAATACTCAAAGGCGAAATTGAAAATGAAAATGTTTCGCACAAAGATAGCTTGATCATTGCCACAATACAAGATGATATCAGGCGCCAAGTTGGTGTTGTCTATCCAGCGGATAAGGAATAAAATGTTGAAATTTATTTTTAGTATATAAATATGTACATATGTTTATAGATTTTTGCAAAAACATGATAATTATTAAATGCATAGCCAACCAAGCAACTGGCGTAAAATAGTTGTGATGATAACCTACATTTTAATATACATATTTATTGTTTTTATTGTAAATTTACTTTATTTTATTTAATCTCACTTTGTGTGCGTCCTACAAATGGTTTGCTGCTTGTATCAATTACAAAAATAGTATGAAATCAGTATTACAGTATTACATACCAGTATGCATTACTGCATACATTAAATGCACTCGAACTAGATTATTGCTATTGATAACACGCCCAAGTGATGCATCGCACAAAAACTAATCCCATACTCCAAATAGACAAATTCATGCTATTGCCATACATTCATTAGTCTAACGCGGCTCGCGTAACGGTAAAAGGAAGTAATATCTGTAAGAAAACGCGAACTTGAGAGAATTTTAATGCCCGTACTAAAGTGGGGCATCGCCGCTGCAGGGCGTATAACGCATGACTTTGTTACCGCACTATCGACCATTGAGGAAAATCAGCACTCAGTTGTGGCTGTGGCTGACGTGGACGGAGCACGCGCTTTGGAGTTTGCCGAACGTTATGAAATACCGAAATTTTACGATGGTTTCGACGATCTGTCACAGGATGCCGAGGTCGATGTAGTCTATGTTGGCACACTAAGCCCTTACCGCTATCGCGTGGTGCGTTTAATGTTGGAACGAGGCAAACATGTGTTGTGCGAAAAACCGTTATGCTTGAGTTTATGCCAAGCGGAGGAGTTGTATCGTGTGGCAAAGGAGCGTAATGTGTTTCTAATGGAAGGTGTCTACATTAATATTTCGGGGTGTATTGTGTATGTGTATGTGTTAAATAACATTTGATTTTTCCTTTCCCCTCCCAGGCATGTGGTCGCGCTGCTTTCCGAGTTATGCCCGACTGCAGGAGCTTCTGCTCGCCGATTGCATTGGTGAAATTACACACATACAAGTGCAACATGGTTACCACGCCAATGTGCAGTGCACACTTGGAGGTTCCATCACATTGGATATTGGTCTGTATGCCTTGCAATTGGGTCAATTCATTTACGGCTGTGCGCCAGTGGGCATCAAATGCAATGCTCATTTGAATGGTGATGGCGTCGATGTGGAATGTGAATTCGTCTTGGATTATGGTCAAAATCGCAAATTGGCTGCTTTCATATCGGGCTTGGAGAGTCTAGAAAACAGCGCTAAATTATTGGGCACCAAGGGTGAAATCAAGGTTGGTTGGTTCATGTAGCTGGCTGTGAAGTGCATGGCCACTGTTATCTTACTGGTCAGTGTATGTGTGTGTGAGGAGCGTGTTGTTTGTTTTGTTGTTACTGTGATAAGTGATACGTGCATCGCGACTCAACTGATAAGGAATATTTAAATGTTTTGCTTTCTTTTTGTGCGAGGGCAGTGACGAAATGACGTTATCAGTTGACAATAGCGCTTTATGCATTTGTTGCTGGCAAATATTCTAAGACAAAAAAAGATTGCAGCAAACATTAAAATAGAAAGTTATTCATATTTACATTTATGCCTTTCGAGCTTGGGATATGCGTTCTTGTTTACACTTCTGCATCATATAGCAGTACGGCAAGGACGATCGACTGGCGGAATTTCGTCCAAATATACATATTTCAATGGCTTACTCAGTGTTGGTGAGATATTTCGGTTTGCCCTTGAACTCCTCCAGGAAGCAGGCAAAATTATCCCAGCGGGGAATGCTAATGTTACCTGTTGACCTAAACAGGCTTAAATAGCCTCACGACACCAACCACCTCTTTACAAGACGTCTAAAACTCGCACATCTAAACTCTCTCTCCCTTTGCTTCCGAACCGTCGAAAGAGCTCGTTTGCTGGACCTCTCGTAAGATGACCTCGGTGACTTAGAATAACTAACCTGTCCCTAAGTGGGGTTGTAATAACCGCCACAACAACAACAATAGTCTGCCTAGCGGTAGGCATCACAGGAAGCGGGATGCTTCGAAGCATTATGTGACCTTAACTGCGCCCGTTTTCCTTGGTATTTCGTGGCAGCTCGAGGTGTTGGTCTACAAAAGGTGGTGATTGGATTTCGAGTACGACATTTATGGGGGGAAAGGTTTACGTAAGTGTTGACCGACTCTTGAGAATAGCCTTTAATGCCTGTGCGCATACGGCCCAGTCCAGCGGTTAAATTCTAAATGCTTTATAGTTTTTCCAGTCCAGCACTAATTAATTGACGGTAGCATTACAGGAAATATTGCTTAGTTTGAGACCTAGTCATTGGAGAATTATACAGAGCTTCGACCTCATCCCAAAGGGTACACCGGTCAGTTTTTTCTTTCGTGTAAAAATTCACTTAGATAATTCGAAAATCGCTCTCGAGCAGCATTCGCATTTAGATAGAAGCAGTAAACTTTTGCATGGACAACTCAGAACTGGATGGAATAGTTGATGAAATAGTTTTTTTTTCGTTGGGTCGAACAGCAAAAGAGCTGTTTAGTATGCCAACCCACAGCGGAATCTTTGACTATAAGCCTGATAAGTCTGCAAAAATTGTCACATAGAGACGTGTAGTAATGCCCCTCGCAACCAGTGGTTTACTCTCCCACAAAGGGACCTCCCGTCAGCCTGTGGGCATATACTCGTACTACGATATACGTGATCACAAAAGTCTTCTGGTCTGATGTGGACCGCGGGAGATCGAAGTATCTCCAGACCAAGTCGCATCTATCACTTCTACCATATTGCAGAAAGGATGTAGAACCATTTCGGCCGTTTCTGTTTAATTGCCCTTGAATTCACGTGAATATTATCTTTGCCTTTATATACCCGTGCATATATAACAAGCCAGGTAAGCAGAAGTGCTCAAATTTATTAATGACGGAATAGTATGAAGAAATAATGTTTTGAGAACGGAAACGATTTTATTCAATGCAATCTGAAATTAGTTTCAGTTTTATTTATTATTGTTGTAGTTGTGTTTTTCTCACCTTTCTATGTAACCTTTATCTAATCCTCTCTATTTATAGCTCAGCAACTATTGGTGCTGCACCTCACTCACGAAGCTCAGCAACATCACAGAACTATGGCCACTACCCACCGCAAAATATGAATTCAATTATACAAATGCCTGCGGACTCCGCTACGAGGCTGAGGAAGTGCGTAAGTGTATAGAGAAGCGGCTGCTGGAATGTTCGCTATATACGCATGCGCAGAGTCTTGAGTTGCTACAAGTAGTCGAAGAGATGCGCAAGCAAATCGGTGTGGTCTATGATGATATAATTTGTTTGGATTTGTGAGAAGTTGGGGAAAAATAATATTTAAACTAAAGAATAAAATAAACTAATGACGTATTGACAGCAAAAAAATATTTAAACTAAAAAAAATTGTAAATTTTTGAACAAAAAATGTATTTAAACTGCAGAAAATATTCAAACTAAAACAAAAAAATAATGAATAACAATAAACTAAAAATATATAATTTAACAAAAAAATAAATCAAACTAAAAAATAATTAAAAAAAAAACTTACCAAAAAAAATTAAATTAAAAAATATTTAAAACAATCAAACCAAAATATATTTCAACAAAAAAAAAAAAAAAATTAATTAAAAAAAGTATTTAGAAAAAAAATTATATAGAAAACTTTTTAATAAGAATTTTTAAAAAATATTTTAACTATAAAAATAAGAAAAAGACTTTAAATCCTAAATTACGCACTTAACAGTTTTGCTTAATAATGAATTGAAGAGATTACATGGCTGACGTTGGCACAGTAGTAGAGCACTCTCCAGTCAAGTTCGAATCCTGCCATAAGAAGTCTGACGAGAAGATGTGGTGATCTCCGAAACAGCTGAGACTTCTACCATTTTTCTTTGCTGTATAACAAAAAAATATTCAATTCATACAAACAAACTGACTAAAAAGTTATAAAAAAATTTTAACTAAAAAAATATTTAAACTCAAAAGAAATATTAACAAAATATTAGAAAAAAAATTGAACTAAAAAATATTTTTACAAAACAATAATTAAACTAAAAAATGTTAAAAATAAACTATTTAAGAAAAATATATGTATTTGAATAAAAAAATATTTTTTAATCCAAAAAAAACTATTAAAAATAAAAAAATATTTCTCTAAAAAAAAATTAAACTCAAAAATGTTTCAAACAAAACAAAACTATTTAAGAAGAAATATATATGTTTAAATTAAAAAAATATATATTTAGATAAAAAATATTATTAAATCTACCAAAAAAAATTTTAAAAATAAAAAATATTTCTTAAAAAAAAAATAATTAACCTAAAAAAATAACAAAAATTTTATTAAAAAATAATTTTTGTTAATAAAAATTATATAAAAAATTTTTACCATCAAAATATTTAATATAAAAAATTATTCAACCAAAGAATAAATAATAATAAACTAAGTTTTACAAAAAATAAAAAAGCTTATTATGAAAAAATATTTTAACAAAAACATTTGAATTAAAATAATATTTAAACTGAAAGAAACATTAACAAAATATTAAATATTTATTAATCTAAAAAAATATTAAAATTAAAAGATATTTCTTCAAAGTGATTTAAAAAAGTTTTAATAATAAAAATTTATAAAAAAATGTTTACCATCAAAATGTTTAAATAAAAAAAAATTATTCAACCAAAAAATAAATAATAATAAGCTAATTTTTTTAAAAGATAAAAAAATTGTTATTAAAATATTTCAACAAAAACAACATCTTAGTTGAACAATTATTTGAACTGAAAGCAACATTCACAAAATATTAAAAAGAAGTTAAATTGAAGAATATTTAATAAAAAAAATGTTAACCTAATATATGTTAACAAAAAATACAAACTAAAAAATATATGTTAACAAAAAAATTAAGAAATAATATACAAATTATTTAACAAAAAAAAAAATAATTAAACTAAAAAAATATTTTTAATTAAACTAAAATTTAATTAAAGAAATATTTAACTAAAAATACTGATTTTTACTAAAAAAGTATTTGAAAGAACAAATTTTAAACAAAAACATATTTGAAATGAAATATAAACAAAATATAATAAAAAAATAATATTTAAACTGAGAAATATTATTTAATGTGAAAGAAAATAGTTAAGCTAAAAATATATATGTTCAAACTTAAGATTTATTTAAATATAATAAAAAAATATTTAAACTAAAAAGATAAAAAACTAAATAAAAAAACCAAAGAGAAATGTGAGCTAAAAATATTTAAACTAAAAAATAATAGAATATTTCAACTAAATAAATGTCTGCAATTAAACAAATATTTGAAATAAAAAAATATTTCAACAAAAAGTAATCATAGAATAAAATATATTTGAAAAGAATATTATTTCAACTACAAAAAATATTTTTTAGGGAAAAAAAATTAATAAAATCAAAATTTGATTTAACCTTTACCTATTTGGCTAAAATAAATAATCTACACAATTTTTATATTTATTTTTATTCATTTATTAATATTTTTTATATTAATATTCGATTGATGTGCTTCAACCTCTGCTGTAGCTACATACATACATAACTAGGTGCTAATTTAGTTACAATTGTAAAGTCTATGTTTTTTTTCATTGTGATTTTTAGGTTCTTACGTTTAAATTTATTTTTGATTCTTCAAAGATCTGCTAAATAAATTGCATACGAGTATGTACTATATATGTATCTATCTCACTTGATCTTATATTTATGTACATATGTATGTATGTAGTGTGCATAAACGCTCGATTTATAACGTAAACAATTATTTTATTAATTAACAAAATAGTGTAATATTCACTTGCACATATGTATGGGAGTGTGATTGTATCCAAAATTTTAATGCAATTTTTTTTGTTTTTATTTTTTTTTTTACCCGCTACATTGTCAATAATTTTTATATTTTTTTTCAATTAAAATAATTTTAAATAAATTGAATTTTTACTTACACACTTTATTGACATTTTATACTTAAATTTATTTATATGTGTATGCTTGTAGGCAAAGATATTTTTAAACTTAATTTTATAGCTTGCTTAGCACAAATTAAAGGCGCAATTGGTTATTTGCGCATGCGTGTATGTGTGCGCTGCCAAATTTTGAGAACTTTAATTATTTACAGTACATTATATATTTTTTAAATATTGATTATTATTTCTTTATTTATGTAATTCATGAAAAAATGTTTTTAATATGGACATAAATTATTTGTTAAAATAAAATTAATTTAAAAAAAAATTGTGAAGTAATAAAATTAAAATAAAAGAAATATTTTTTATTATTTAATTTAATGATGTAATTAAAATTTGTTATTAATGTTTTAATTTAATTTTATATTTATGTTTTGATTTTAAATTTCTCTATTATTTCTTAAAGGCTTTCTTTATTTAATTTATATTCGTTAATAAATTAATGAAATTAAAAACAAATTATTTTTCAAGTAATAGTCAAGTCATAATTTTTTTTCTTTTAAAGATGACTTCTTTAAGACTGAAATATTCTCATATGTGTAAAAAGATAATAAATTAATAGCATATTAATCTCAAAACACGCTAAAATAATAATTTTATTTTAATAAAATGTTATTTACTTAATTTTTATTCGGTAGTGAAAATAATTTTGAGACTGATAGAAGATAAAGATAAATTAAAAAAAGTTAAAATCTAATTAGATTAGGCTTCTTGAATTTCACCGCAAAGAAAACAATAATTCCATTTTATGAATTTAAAATAAAGTCTTATGTTTATTAATTTCAATGGATACATTTTTTGTGGCCAAAATTAACAATTAGCAAAACAAATACATACATAACTACATAAATCATTAATAATGGTGTTTATTTGCTTTGTTTTCGTTTTTAAATTTTAGTAATAGTAATTTGAAACAATATTTTTATTATATAATATGCATGTAAGTATGTATATACTCGTACACTAATTAATTGGAAGCGATAGTACTTGTAATAACAAGATAAAGAAGTACTTACTTACATATTCACTGAAGGAATTTTACATACATAAGTGTGTGGTCTGTGGATTGTTGTAGAGAAACAGCGGAAATTTAAGAGAAAGATTTATGAAGAGTAATTATTTTTTTTCTTCGTTGGCATAGATACAAATTTTTAAATTAAAATAAAAATAATAATAAAAATCTTTAACTGAAAAAAAAATAATAATAAAAATTTTTAACTTAAAATAAAGAAAAAAAATAAAAGCGGTTACGAAAAATAAAAAAATATTAGAAAATTAATTAAATAATAAAATGTTAATAATTATTAAAAAAAAAATGATTAAAAAACAATACATAGGATAATTATTAATTAAAATAAAAAATTTAATTTTAAAAAATTATTATAAATACTAAAAAATTATGATAAAAATAAAACATTAAATGATTAAAATATTAAAAGAATATAATATAAAAAAAAAAAACAAAATATTACGTAAAAAAATTATAGCGAAATGAAAATATATATAAAACAATTATTAAAAGTAATCAAATATTAAAAAAATATTTTAAAATGTAATAATAAAAAATTAATGAAAAAAATAATTAAAAAAGCAATAAAATAATACTAAATAAAATCTTAAAAAGTAAATAAAACAAGTATTAAAATTTCAATAAATTATATTTAAATAAAATACTAATAAAAAAAAAATAAAATAATATTTTATAAAATACTAATAAAAAAATAAAATAATATTAAATAAAAAATCAATAAAAAAAATAAAATATTAATAAAAACAATAAAATAATATTAAATGATGAAATAAAAAAAATAAAATATTGAAAATTTAATAAAAAAAAATAAAATAATAATAAAAATATATTAATAATAAATACTAAAAAATTATTACAAAAATAAGATTTAAAATATGTTAAAGAAAACAAAATTAAAAAAATGAATATTAAAAAAATAATAACATTAACCAAATCAAATATTAAAAAAAATAATAATATTAAAAAAATGAAATATTAAAAAAAAAATAATAATATTAAAAAAATATAAAAAATACAAAAAATATTAAAACTAAAATAAAATATTAAATAAAGATATATTAAAAAATAAATAAAATATTAAAAAATCACTAAAATATAAATAAAATGAAAAGTGAATAATTGTACAATAAACTATTTAAAGCGCGAAAATTGAAAATTAAATAAATTAAAAAGGCTTGAATAATATGTACTAGTAAGAAATATTTTTGGTTTAAATATTGAATTAGGTTAAAAAAAAATGTGAAAATTATAAAATAATTTTACATATAAATGTGACAACTATTCAAATAAAAAAGTTAAAAATAAAAATAAATAAATTAAAACATAAAAATTAAAAATAATTAAAATTTTAAAATATTTTGACCCGTTTAAAGAAGTAGTTTTATTAAATTTTACAACAATAACTCGACTTGCTTTTTTGAATTCTTAGTTTTTATTAAAAAAAATTCTTTAAATTTTCCAGCAAATGTCTACTATCCTCTACAATGAAAATCCACCAAAAATAACACACACACATACATACATTTACCGTGAACAGATAAACATCAATTAAAGTCTAAAGTTTATAACATTACCTCCAAAACATATAAATGTGTTAAAAAGTTATGTGCAACACCATACACACACACAAACGCTTTTTCTTTAAACATACATACTATATAATATTTAGTATTGGTAGCATAGTTTAAAACGGATTTCTTTTATTAAATTTTCAATTATATAATACATAAACACTATAATATATATAAAATATATACCAAAAGCATATACATACACTATATATATATATATATGTTAGGCTGTTAATTTAACAAATTTAAGTAAATATTATTTTTATGTGTGTGATTGTTATTTTTTTATACAAATTCTATACATAAGTTTTTTTTTTTTTAATTAATTTTTCTTTAATAAAATGAATTGTTGTGCAAACAAAGATAGAGAAATAGCGAAAGAACTAAATATTACTCGCTAAAGCAACTGTAATTTGCTGCAAGGCTACAAAAAAAATCAAATCAAAATTATTCATTAATTCATTTCGGCTGCTAATCAGCTTAGTTTTTATATATATTTTTTGTTTTTTTTTCGCTTTTTTGTAGTAATGGATTTAGCAGAATTTTTTCATTAATCCATTCACAAAAATCTACCAAAAAAGTGTGCTTTTATTTTTTTTTTTTTTGTTCTGTACTGCGCAGTTTTTGCGCGTACTACTTCTATGTGCTAATAAAAAAAATCTAGTCTTCTCTTAAGAAATTACTAACAGCGGTGAGAGTAGAAAGCGTAGCTTCAGTACAAATTCTCGTTGGCATAGAGGAGGGGGCAGGCGTGTGAGTGCGTAGTTTTTTATTATGTGTGTAAGGTGTTTTCTTTATTTTTTTTTATAAATATGTTGTGTTTAGGCCCCTCTTCAATTACTTTTCACATACCCTGTGCTTCTTATCAATTGTTGTAGTGGTAGTGTTGTTAGTAGTTGTGTTCGCAGCGTTGCTTTCGGTCATCGGTGTGCAACTATCAACGCTATCATGCTTGCTCAACACATCACCTTCACTCTCCGCAATATTTGTGACAGCACCCGTAGTGTTTATAACGGTTTTATCAAGCACATCATGTACAATTTTAATTGTTTCAGACGTAACTGTTTCATTATCACTGCCTTCTGCAACTTTTGTCGAAGACGTCACTTCCACTTCGGCAACTTCCACTTGTAGCTTCGATATTTCTTTTTCCTCAACAATTTTCTTCGTTTCAACTGCGCTTACTTCAGCTGCAGTGAGTGGTGTTTCCCCAACATTTTCTATTTTCTTTTCATTTTCATTTTTATTTTCAATTTCAGTTTCAGTTTCGGTTTCTTCTTTTCCCAATTTATCTTGACTGTTACTATTGCTGCTGCTGTCGGTGTAATCACAATCGGTCGTAACGCTGCGGCTACTAATGAGCGTATTGGTGGTAGTGGTGGTGCTGCTGCCGCTACCATTTGCACTCAGACATGTTGTATGCGAGACCGAGACGAGCGTAGCGGTGGTATGGCGATTATGTTCTAGTAGATCGTTGATTTGTGAGAGTCGGGTGACACTGGAAATTGGTGTGCTGAGCTGGATGAAACTGCTGCCACTTTCATTTGCACTACTACCGCTTTCGTTGACATTGACGCAGCTATCGGGTTTCTTCCATTCAATTTCATTGCCGGTTTGCAAGCTGCTGCCGCCGATAGCAGTTGTGTTGCAGGAAGTATTGGTTGCGGTGGCGTTGGTTGTACCATTGTTAGCATCAGGGCAGTTATCTTCCCCAGCATCGGCTTCCTCTGCATCACTTCCCCCGCTATCTTCCATGGTAATACAGCTGGGCGCTGTAGTGTCGACGAGCGCATAACTGCTAGTATCTTGGTATTGTGCTGCTGCTGCGGTTGTTGTCGCTGTGCCGTAAGGTGGCAACGATGGTACTGCGCATGAACTGTAGGTGGTAGGCGGTGTCAGCGTTGGCTGTGCGGTAGCTTTTGCGCTCGGCTGTGTTAGATAGCCACTGGTGTTCGTTGTTTGCTGATAGGCGGAGTAAGTGGAGACCTAAGGAGCAAACGATTGTATATGATCAAAAACGTTAAAAAAATAATAATAATAATAATGAAAAATAAAATTATTTTTAGGTTAGGTCCTCGCAGTCAGAGTAGTTTCACAAAACTTACGAAAGGAGAAAAATCTTTCTGGTATGGAAGGTATATTGGTTAGCTGTTTACGTGCTTTGCAGTGTACCTTCCATCAACTTTTCGTCGGCACGATGAGCTCGAGCTGCACCGTGAAACCTGCCTATCGGAACTCAAGCCTATCCAAACTACTCCCATACATATCAAACGTATTTACTATAGTGGTTTTTGAAGAGTGATAATCCTGTATTCAAATGCTTGAAGCCCAAGCCCGGAAGGGTAATATGTTATGCTTAAATTATCTACCTTAACAGTTACAACAATCAATACTTCGTTCCAAAGACATCTGATGAATGATAGTTGAAACTATCGAACGCTTGAATAACCCCTAATTTCGTTCCACTAAACTACTCCCTTAATATCGATGATGTCCATATGTATGTAACTCACCTGCGTTGAATAGTTAATATTCTGATGATAAGAGCTCACAGTGGCAGTGCTCGCCGCAACGCCGCCAATACCACTGCTATAAGCTGGCATCATTTCGCCGTACACCACTGGCGTGGCGGTCGCTGCGCTGGCAAATAGATCACCGTCAAGAGTGTCTAATTGATAGCTTTGTTGTTGTTGTTGTGCAATTGTTTGCAAATCATTTGTGCTGACAGTACTGTAATGTGTAGTAGTGCTAGTACTGCTTTGTTGCTGATAATAATTGGCTGCTGGTTCGCTGGGGTAGGCGGGTGATGCATAACCCGAGCTATAATTTGATTGTGTTTGCATGGCATAATAACTGCCGGGAAGTGTGTTGGCGTATGATGGCGTAGGCGGTAGGGCGCTGGTATGTGGGCCCACAACGGCAGAAGATGTGGCACAGGCTGCAGACAAAGTGTAGCTGCTCATAGTAGCACAAAGTGGTGGATTCTGTCGCTGGCGGTTCTCCATCTCCAAACGCATGATTGTGTGTATGAAGTGTGTGCGTACGCGAGTTGGATTGAATTCGACGCGTCCCACTGTGTTGCCACAGGCATCGCGTGTACAACCGCATGGGAACATGGCGCGATCGACCTATTGAAGAGGGGCGAGGATGACCAAAAGTTACACATTAGAGTTGGGCCAGCAAAAATATTTTCAAAGCTTGTTTAAACTGAGTTCCTCAGCGTACTTACCTGGCATTTGATGCCCGCTTGACTGCAGGCACAAGTCTCAGGATCACAGAATTCTACACACGCACAGCCGCAAATCTCACGCGAGTTTCGTATGTCGCGGCATTCAATCTTCTCGGCGGCATCGATTTTACGCACACCCGCCGCCTTGAGCAATGCACGTCGCTGCTTGGGAGATACTGGTTGCAGAAAGCCATTGGATTCGGCGTCTAAATCGGAGCCACTACCCTCACTTAGATAATCCTCTTCGGACTCTTCACTGTCATCGCTTGAGGAGCCACGTGGGTTGATTTCTTGCAGTTGTAAGCGATGCGCACGTCGCAGCTCGGCAGCATGTTCGGCGAGTGTGAGCGTTTTGAAGCCAATATGTCGTGCTCCCATGCCTAGCGTACAACCGCCCGCCGAAGGTACACAACCGAAACCCTGCTGTCGTGGAAAATAGTATACCTGCACATTTTCGAAGTTGATCGAGCGCTTAAGCTTTTTAATTTGGTTACTGCTGGTGGTAGCCAGTTGCGTTTTCTGTGGCGAGTCAATCAAGGCTTCGTCGTCCTCGAGCCGACGCTTTAAATTCGAACGTAAAGGTTTCATAACGGCTCCAAAACTTGGCGCAGCCGCTATAACAGTCACGGGCACAACAGCACTGCATGATTTTGTTACGCCATCCGTCAAGGTAACATTGCTGCCATTACTGGTGGTGCTCTCCTTATTTGCAATTGTTGTGGCTTTGGTTTTGTTGCATGTAGGCGTATTTGCAACACTAGTATCGCTGGTCGCAGTCAAATGGCTGGTATCTGCTAGTGTAGTCTGGAGTGTGGATGTTTCGCTGCCCAAACCCGAATCGGAGCCATCACTACGTATCTCTTCTGCATGTTCATCGTGTTGCGTATTAAGCTTTTCTGCGCTTTTATTGCTGCCGCTGGCGGTAACGTTGGTATTGCGTTTCTCCTTGGTCTCTGTCGTAATGATAAGCTGTCGCTGTGATGTGCTTTGCGACGAAAGTGTATCCGCCTCGCTTTTTAAGTCTTTTTCTGCATTTGGTTTTGTTTTGTTTGTCTTTACTTCGTCTATACTCATCCATAGGAGGTCACCGCTTGTGGAAGCCTCATCGTTTGTTGAGGAATCCAATGGATTCGATGTATCTTTAATACCCGAAAGCGATGGTTGTGTGAAGTCATCAATGGCCAAGGGATCTTCGGATAGCGCATCCGACGCAATGGAGCAGTTTATTTCACCGTCGCTAAGCACGATAATTTCGCTGTCTAAAATGTTCAAAATGTAAAATAAATTATTATTTATAACTGATGGTAAGAAGCTTTAAATGAAACTTCACCGAGAAAACCTCGATTTAAGAAAAACATTGAATTCTTGCCAGCGGCCAGAATAGACTATGAAGAAAATGAATGTATAAGTGCTCATTCTTCCAGTAGTTATTATTAATGCAAGTTTCAGGGAATGACGCGGCTAATAAAAGCTTCTCACTGTTTTCTATTTCCCACTTACCCTCAAATCTTTTCGCTCGATCCCTTGTCAACTCATCTGCATCCTCTTCTTCTGTGATAAACTCTTCAACTGTATCTTCACCCGCACCGAACGTGCCATCGTCACTGAGCAGAGATATTGGCGGATACTCTACGTATTCATCTTGTGAATCAGCGCCCATTGCGTCATTGTATTCGTTTTGTGAATCCTGTGATAAAACATCTTCCGATTCGGTGTCATCTATTTCATCGGTTAGATTTTCCACCACACTAGTGGTTTGTTTTAGTGGTGGCCGTAGCATTACGCTACTTTTAATTTGCATCTCGATGTCATCTTCTACATCGCAGTCGCCAACACCGTATGTGGCAATGCCATTCGGTTCTTTGCCATTAACCACTTGCACTGTAGGCTGAGCCTTATTGGCATTGCTGGCAACATTCATTTTACTCCTTTCACCGCGCTTTATATGCTCCTGCTGCATTTGCTCGTCAGCAGTTTCAGGTAAGTGTGTCTTCTCTTGAGGCAGACTTACTTCTGTTGCAATTTCTTTCTCTGTTCTACCGATTTCCTTACTTTCTTGTTGTATATCTTTGGTTGCTTCAATGCCAACCTCGCTTTGTGTTTCAGTCTCTGTGTCAGCTACTGCTGTTGAGCTGCCAAAAATCGCGCTGCCACTAGCATTTTTCTGTATGTAACTTATTAAGTTCTTGATTGGTCTAAACATTCTATTTTTGCGTATAACAGTTGACGCACTATATCCGTTCGATTGAACTTTGCCCGCTTAGCAGCAGCACTTACAACACACCTCCTTAAGTGTCTGGAAGTGCTTAGGTGGTTTGGACGTGAGCGATAAAACGTTGAGAAACCGAAACCGGCTGGTGTGCATCTAAAAGGTAAAAGCAAAAAATATTCAGGGTAAAAATATGCTTTAATTTCCAATCAAATTTTAATCGAGATTTTCATAATGGGTAAATAAATATCCTATACGTTACTTCCGGATTTGTTACGTAAGAGGCCATTCTTGGTTAGACCTAGGTCCGGTCCTCCGGAAATAATCCCAACTGTAGAAGTAATCATTGGATTTTAGGCACGACATGCATGCGAGTAAATTATATAACCAAAAATCCGCAGGAATGACAGAAGCTGAGTTAGCTCGCCCAAAATGTACATACATACATACTTTTTCAATATGAAATTTCTGACTAAATATTTCATTGGGATTGAAAAAATATAGTAGAGATAAATTGCAAGAGAAAATTGAGGGTTAGTTGGAATAGATTATGTCCGCTGAAAGCTATAGGTTATGTTGAATCAGAAAATTGCAGATAACATGCAAAAAATGAAGATTTGCAGTTATTATTACAATAATGAAAAGATATGTAGTTGAAAATTCAGCAGAAAATTGAGAAAATCATTAAAACAGCAACAAATTCATATGCAGATAACGAAGCAACTTCGGACATTACTATTAAATCTAGTGTAGATGAATATTTCATAAATATTAATGACTTCACAAGTATGGACCGTCGGCTTTCTTCTTTATGCCATTATTGACTTGAATACATTTTTTTCGTTATGCCCATGTAATGTGTAAGTATATGCGTCTGCACAACTCTTGGAACGCCATAAAAAAAGCTCAGAAATTCATTATTTAATTACTAAACAAAATAATTATGAAAATGGATAGAAGAAAACTAAAATTGAATATAAATGCATTAAATAAAATTAATTATCCTTTTAATAAGCACATCAAAAGCAATTGGATGTCTTCTTTGCAAACAAGTAGGTACATGTCTATGTGAACAAAACACACAAACAAAAAAAAAAAAAATCAAAATCAAAAGCAATCTGAAAAACAACATCAATGCATGAAAGCAGCTTGCAACCTGTGTCTAAGTATTCCTTTGTGTGGATGTATCTTACGATAGAAACCTTTGAAATAACTAACTGGACAGATTGACTGACTTTACTTGATAATGATAGTTGCCTAGTTCAGTGATAACCGTAATGAATGCACGGACAAATACTATTAAGTGGGCGATGCAGTTTCCAATGTGTAGGTAAAATTTTTAATATACATTGTAACTATTGTATGTATGTATATTATGTGCGTATGTACAGTGCGCGCCAATGCAGGCAGCGTTCCTCCCATAAGTACAGGTGCGCTGCGGCGGGTGCAAATGTGCTACTTAACGAGAAAATAAGTAGGCAGCAAGCAATGTTTTTATTTTAAAGAAATTATTCCTACTGCAGCAATTAAAAACCTTTGATATTTATTTTTCAATTTTTTTAAATATCTTTTGCCGGATCTTGGGGAAATATTTTGTGCATAATAAATGGGACCAAGTAATTTATAATGGGTTGATGGTAATTTCTTATCAAACCAGCACAGTCATGTGTGGCTCTGAAAACCTATAGATAGACAAAATGTTAATTTTATTTACATTTAATTTATTATCTTAGATCGTTTTCTAATTTGCTTTTTTATTGAGAAATTTATTCTTGATTCATTAAAGAAATACGGAAAAATGTTAGCCTACGAGTTAATAAAAGATGTCTTAACGCATAATTTTTAACTGTGCGCAGCTACGGCGTAGTTTAATACACTTGTACTAAACAAGATATGTCCTACAGCTTATAAAATACTCAAAAGGAAAATAGGTTATAATTTATATAAATTTTAAACTTGCAACTGTTAGCTGCTGAATCTTGTCATATTAATAATCATTAAACATTTGCAACTACATTTTGTGTGACTCAAAAAGATCAATAAGCTTTTGAACTGCAATAAATTCAATAATGAACTTTTAAGTGAAAAAAAACTACCTACCAATAAAATGATGTTTTGGCTTGAAGGGAGATAACTAAAACAGAAAACGTTAAAATATTGTGAAAAAACACAAGTTTTTATTTAAAAAGATTTTGTTGAATAAGTAATTTAGATGCACACCTTAAACGCGTAGTAAATCCTTTAGGCACCAAATATTTGTCGTATTTATTATGCACTTTGTTAATGCACTTGCATTTCGAAACAACGCCAGGAGTTTTAATTGAAAATGCTGAAGGATCTATTTCAGTCCTGCAGCAGGCGTCGCACCTTTTACCACAATGCTAATTATCTCTTACAACGAAGCGGCTGTTGCGCTATTTCGCAAAATTCCAATAACTAAATTGTACTGCTTTTTTTCCCAAATTCGTTTATCCTTGGATTATTTTTGTTTAAATTCGCACGTTTTTTTACAATTGATAACCTTATCCTAAATTTTTTAAAGCATTTGCTGTGCGTTTTGTACAAATTCACTTTACACCGATTTTTTTCATTTCACACACGCTCTGACGTTTCACTTTTTTCTTCTATTAAATGCAACCGACTTTTCTCCGACACTGATTTTTAAGCTTTTCTTGAAAATTACTTGTTCTTTATTTAATTTTTTATTTTACATAAATTCTCAATGATTTATTTTACTTTTTATGCCCAGGTGGTTCTCTGTGTGATTAGAATAATTCTTTTCAGATTTTCGTACGGCAGTTTGCTTGCACAGCTTCTTCATTGTCGCATTTTTCGGCTGTCGAAAAATTTTATTGCCGCTGGATTTTTTTGCTAAACGTTTTTTTAACTATTAACTTTTTTTTTGATTATATTTTCTCTATGAGCACTAAGTAGTTGTTTAATAAATTTCTCTTGCAGTTTTTTTTTTTATAGATTTTGTTTTGCGTTGAGAATTTGCAGGATTTGAATTTTCACAAATTTTCTTACGACTTTTTCATTTTCACTTTGTACGTTTTCTAACTTCAATTTGCCAGTTCTCCTTCTGCGATTGCTACTTACGTCATTCTACACATATTCGTAATTCTGTCTTTTTTTTCATTATTTCATTCAGAGTTGTAATTGCAAAAAATGTTTGTATCGCTTAAGTTTTTTTGGATTATGTTATCAAGTTCTTTTAAAAAATATTGCTAAAACCATTCAATTCAAATTAATTAAAATAAATCGGAATTTTGTACGAGATATAACTTTAATGAAATCATCCCTAAGGAAAAAATGCGTCCAAGACGCAAGATGCCGACTGAATGGTTGAAGCTCTAGCTACACAAATATGGGTTAGTTCCGTGCTAATATGCGCTAGATGTCGCCGACAACCGGAAAATGCCGCAAATCAAACGGAAACTATTTGACATTAGCGGAAGTGTGCAAAGAAAACCTAAAAGGAAGCGTCTTAAACTTTTGGTAAAAGGGTTTAAATAAGTAAATACGTGTTCAAAAAGTGTTTTTAACACAAAAAAGTGTTTACAAAGTGTTTGAAATATACATACAGATATATGTATGTGTAGTGTGAAGTGTGAGCTATGAAATGATTTTCTAAGCACGCAAGCAAGCTCAATCATTGCCAAGTATTTCTTCTCATAAATTTTTTGCTCTGGTGATACACACACACACATTAGAATTACGAAGATATACGTTTGCGCTTACTAACATTACAACTTGTGTGCTTTGATCAGAAGCACACCTCGGATTATTGGAATCGCCGCAGTGTTTGCAGAAACTACCTTAAACGATTACCCGAATTTCTTTAGGGCGTCCAAATGAATGAAAAAAAGAAACAATAACAAATTAATATTCGTCCTGCGAGTATGTTGGCCAACCTAACCTAAAATCTACCGCGTCGCAGTCATTTTACCAACTGCTTACGTAAATGCGTAACTTTGCGTATCCCAAGCGGTGATCAACACTCAAGCCATATTATCATAACCTACCCATCTAGTTCAAGGCAAACGCGCAAAATTTTAAATTCAATTTGGCAAGGAATCATTGAACTCGCTGGAATTTTCTCAATAAACAAACTGCTATGTAAGAACGCAAGCAAAACAACGCGTAGAATCCATCAACGCAAAGGCTTAAGGAATATTGAAAAAACAATAAAACAGCACAAATGTTAATTAATTTACCCCTGCATAATATTATCTCAATATGTGTATACAAATAGTAAATGAACTCGTACACCCCAAAAAGCAGGGATACCTCGCAATAGCAAAAGCGATGCTGCTTCTGCTTGACGCACAAGGTGCGTATGCTCTTTATTTATTATGCTCTTGTTTTGTTGGCATAAACTATTATGGCGCGAAAAAAGCGGTGGATTCATGGATTTTTGCCAAAATTTAAATGAGCATCTGAAGCTGCTTTCGTGAAAAAGGCAATGATCTCTATGGCGTAACTGTGGTGATGGCGGCGTACGGCAAATGCGTAAAGCGACGTTGAACATGTGCTTAGGTATGCGGTAGCGACTCCGGATCGCAGCTTCACAAAGTACATTGACACTTTGGCAACTTTTTTTTACTCTTCGACTAGGTGTTACTGTGTGTTTACATCTCTGTGTGTTTGAGAGTTGTTTTCGTTCATATGATATTTTATGCAATGCGGGAAAAAAATTTACGCGCGCTTTTTCGGTTTGCTAAATTTTGTTTCTGTAGTTACATAATTTATAATAGGCTCGTTGTATTTAATGTTTATTTCATGGCTTCAAAGGCTATTGGCACTTTTCAAGGATTTTTGTTTTATTTTTAAATCTCAACAAAATAAATCTAAGAGCGAATTTGCTTAATTTTGCTGTATTTGTAAATGATTACGCATAAAATACGCAAGCCCATGCATATTTTATTTATTGTTTTGAAAAATACGCAATTTCGCATTGTTTTTGCATTTTAAATTTCATTATATTAAATCGATATGTTAAGTTAGTTGTTAGTACTGAAATTGTACAAAATGTTGTTGTTTTATTAAAAAATTATATAACTAAGACGTTTATTTTCAGATTTTTAGTGGGTACGGAAAAAATTAAAAAATTTCAAAAGGAGATTTATTTTATTTTACATGAACTTGATTTGGAGAAGAATCTTTAAATCCTCAACTCAAGCTGAGCTTAATTTTGATATGTCTCTGAATGAGGATCGTTTTACGAGTGAGAGTGTGGTAAGTATTAACATTAATTGCGGACCAAAGTAATTTTTTAATATTTTCAGAAAACAATAGAAAAGGTTTCTGAACGCATAATTTCAGCTCGGGAATTCTGCAAGATTTAATAAGAGCCTAAATGGCATGTTTTCTTCTAACTCTGCTAGAGTTTCGCTCGAACCAGACGGCACGGACTTAAAGCTTCTGAAAATAAGAGGTTCATTCATCAAAGTTACAATTGATTCAATCTATTTTTCACTTCATCCGCACTTAAGACATCCGCAATCACGCCAAACAAGCATCAATCGATCAGAAAGAAAAAGTAATACAACAAAACTATCAGATTTATTACACAATCAAGGAAGTTATTTCTTCTGGTGTAGGCATTATTATGTCACCCACATCATACCTACTCATCAGTAATATATAAACAAAAATATGAATATATATTATATTAACATGTAGCCCGTCATTTGCAAACCCAAACCCAGAACCAAACCTTCCTTCCATAAATAAATATTTGACAATTGACAAATTTTTGACTTGCATAATTACAAAAAACAACATCGAACAAAGACAAAAGATCGCGCCAGCCAGCAATTCAGCCAACAAAAGTCTTCGAATGGAGCAGTACAATTTTCATAAAAATTATGCAAAATGTCAATGCGTTCCCGAAAGAATCAATCAATTTGCCTACTAAGCGCTTATAACGCCACTTCAATTGTGATCGTCAAAAGCTGATTAGTCACCTACTGTGGCGTCAATTATGGTGCAATTGTCGCCAAATATGTTGCAAGTTGCAAGAGACAAACTATAAGTTAAGTTCGAAAGTTTACAGACGGCAGGAGAGTGAGTAGGTTTGGAGAATTACCCAAAAAGGCAGCTACTGTTTAGGCAAATATTTACCTTTGTTTGTGTATTTCAGAGTTGTACGTGCCCTAAAAGGCAGGCAATCAAAAAAAAAAAAAAGAAAAAAAAAAACAAAAGAGAAATATCACACAGCGCCCTGATGTGCACCTTCCATTGATAGCTTCTGTATAGGAACAGTAGCTGAAAACCCTACCTTAAATAAGTTTTTTTTTGTTCATTCTTAAATTTTGCTTAATTCTTTTTGCTTTAATTTTTTATAGTTATCTTTTCTTTGTTTTCCTCTTTAAAGGTGTCTTGCAAAATAATTTTTTTGACGCTGCCGAAATTTGCCAAAAATAAAGCTAACCAAAAAAAGGGAGAAAAAAAACAGTTCAAAAGTGCAAAAAAGAGCATGGCTTTACGACAGTATTTTCATACCACCTAATATTGTCAAAGCATATTAGACGGCCTGCTGCTGACGCAATTTCCTTCAACATATCAGCGCGTTTGAATCTTCGTAATAAGGTAAGAAGTAATATACATACTTGCATACATAATAGTAGTGATTGTAAATATTGCAAAGGGTGTCACTAAGCTCACCTAAAGACAGCACCAAGCACCAAGCAGTTCTTTGTCAACTACTCGAAAAATAAATGAAATAAAAAGAAAAAATTCCGGCACAAAATTAACTTAATATTGAACTTCTCAGAGCATTAATATATAATATGAACTTATGTACACGTATATGATATTTAGTATGATACTAAGTGGCAAGCGGAAGGCTTGTCGCCAACTGCAATTACCGAAAAGTCTTCGTTCAATGTTAAACGAATGTTGTTGCTACACGCTCGTATTGTTTACAGTTGTGTATTGCTGTTTTCCCTTTTTTTATATACGATACATACATATGTATGTATGCACAAATACATATATATTTTTTCTTCTGTATATTTTTTAATTTTGGCATTTTACTGTTGTCAACGCTTATCATTAACGCTTTTGTTGATTTAACCTGTACTTGAACCCCGTTTTTCGTTGAAGTGCAGCATTATTCATGCACTTCATGTAGTAATCCAGCAAAAAAAAAACATAAAGGCTCGCTACCAATATACAATTAAAGCAATTTTCGGCCGAGCTCCTCCGCCAATTTGTGGTTTGCGTCTTAATGTTTTCCCAACAAAATTGAGGGATGTACAGTTTATTCTAAGAGGCCTCCGAACGCTCAATCAATTTTATTTATATAGGGAGCTTTTATTTCATGTCAGAAATATCCTCGGCGCCCGCAATCAGAAAGATTAATTTTCTGTAATTTTAGATGTCGTTCTGATCAGGACTTGAACCCTGGCCCACCGAATAGTAATACGCAATGCTAACTACTCGGCTATTAAGGCTCAACACCACAACGTACTTTAGTGTGGGTATATAAATACTATTTATATGCGATTATATAAGTATGATAGGAGATCATGTACATTCATATCGTAGTACCTGAAAGTAGCAAAGGGCGTGAGGTGAGTTAAATAACAACGGCAACATTGAAAAATTCTTTGACATTTTTTTCCGCAGTTTTTGCGAAATATTTGTAAATATCAACGAAACCAAATGTATACATACATATCAGTATGAATTTTTTGAGTGATTTTTTCAAGTTTTCAGTATCAATGGCCTTAACAGTTTAAATACTGATCCAAGCTTGTCTGGCTGGTGCTGACTAAATATAAGTAATAATGCAAAGCCATGGTTGTAGCGCTGCAATAGGTGCTTCCTCTGCCTTCATAAAGACGTAGGTTGCTATAACCTCGGCCAAGCTTGCAAAGGATTAAGAAACCTATGTATGAATTATGAGCTTTGGGTCTTTGGGCTGAATAAGATTATCTATACTATCGGCGTGTAAAACCTGTACATCCAATGTATGAGACCAGGTGATAGGCCCCACGCAGACGCTATCATCTTCTTACAAGGACTGGTC